TATTAGGTGGTATATAATTAGATTCATATAATAATTCACCTTTAAAATTATAATTAACTATTTTTTTAGCAATTGATAATCCTAATCCAGTTCCCATCACTGCTGATTTGGAATTTGTTGATGAATTTATAAATCCACTAAAAAATGGTTTAAATAATAATTCTTGTACATTTTTAGGTATACCTTTACCATTATCTATTATTTTAAATGTTACTAATTGTTTTTTATCATTTATATTTAAATTTAAATTATTATTATTTAAATTATTATTATTTTCATTTAAATTTATATTATTATTTAAATTAATTTCATTTAAATCTTCAATAGTTTCAACTTTTAAAGTAACAATACCATTTGAATTTGATGCTTTAACAGCATTTGTTAATAAATTAATTAAAACTTGTTGTAATCTAACACTTTCACCAATTACAAAAGTAGGAATAAATTTACTAATTTGTACATTAATTTTAACATTAAAATTTTGAGCATAGGTAGTTGTAATACTTTTGACATGTTCAATACATTCACCTAATGAAAATATAGAATGATTTGAAGAATCTTCAATTGAATTGGCAATTTCTAAATTACCTTTTTCTAATTTAGAATATTGTAATATATCTTCTATTAATGTTAATAATATTGAACTACAACATCCAATAGTTTTTAAATATTGTATTTGATCTTCTGTTAATTTTGTATCTAATAATAATTCTATACATCCACTTATACTCATCTTTAAAATATTAAATATAAATTAAAATATTAAAATAAATTAAAATATTAAATTATTAAATTAAATTTAAATTAATTAAATATTAAATAAAAAAACCTACTAAAGGAGAACGAAATTCATGTGAAATAGAAGAAACTAATGAATTTTTACTCTTATTTGCATCTTTTAATCTTCCAGTCATTATATTCATCATATTTAATTTTTCCATTAATTTATAAGAAGTAGTATTAAAAACTAAATTAAATATAGTTAACATTGTTAAAACACCAAATGATTCAGACCATCTATTAAAATATAAAGATAAAATTAAACTAGTACCAATTGATAAAATATTTAATGGTAAAATTGTCCATAATGCAGTTGATAATCCATTATCACCTAATGCAATTGAATTATGTAATATAAATGATGATCAATTATGAACTGTACTTGCCATAAATCCAATCGTCATCCATGAATAACTTGGATTTATATCTGATATTATTAATCTAAAAAATTG